TAAATCCAGCAGGAGCAGCAGAGGCTTGCAGACCAGGCTCTATTGAACAGGGAGAGACCACCACTGCTGCGGGCACTCCCCAAACTGTGGGACTGGGGCACGAAATCCATGCCATCTTGAAGGGGAGAGTGGCCTCTTCTAGGAACTCATCAGCACCACCACCCAGACAGGCCTTGGACACTGCCCACAACCCAGCAGCCACTCCAGCCAAAATTCTGTTGTCCCACCCAAAGACCCATGGACCCTGGGACTTCCACCTCCAAAGGTGCACTGCTCCCACAGCAACAACCCAGCTATGCATCTTTAGTGTCAGGGTCCCTCAGAATGCATCAGAGCTCTGCACCGCAAACTCACAGCCACAGTCGTGCATTTCTAAGGAGCAGGCACCTAGAGCCCATCTATCCACAGGGCACTCGTGGGAGCTGCTGCAAGCCCCTGCTAGATGTGATCTCGGACAAACATGGACACACTGCCCCTGCAGTAGAAATTCTGAATTCACTCACCCTGGATACTTGCCCACAGATGCCTCAATTATGTGGCTTCAGTGCCAGGGCCCTTCAGAGTGCTTCAGTATGCCACGCTGGCAAACGTACCTCTGGTGCCCCTGTGAGCTGCTACTGGGAGTGTGTGCTTATCCACCACAGGTCAGAAGCAAAAACTGAGTCTGTCCACACGACAGCTGCAGAACTCTGGACACTACAGTTTCACACTTTTCCAGTGCCACTGTGAGTCCCTGCTAGGAACGCGCGACTTCAACCAAGGGCATAAGACAGCAAAAATTGGGACACCCCCTTCCACAGCTGCTGCTGACTTCTAGACACCGCAGTTGCACATTTCTAGCTCACAGACCTACATCAAGAGAACCCAAATAGCCCAAGTAGGGAGCTACGCTAGATTAGCAAGCCCAGGAGACCTGAGAGATCACACCAGTAGCATCATCCCCAAAAGAACCTGGGTAGCAAAGCAATCGGATCTACAATTAAAACATTTCAGCAAAACATGGGAAGACAAAAAAACAACTCAATGAGAATTATAAGGAGCTGAATGAGAATGTCACCAACATGAAAAGAGGAGATGAAGAATGATATTGTTGCAATAAAGAACACAATGGAAGGCTTAAACTGTAGACTACAAGAGGCTGAGGACCGCATCAGCAAATTAGAAGACAAGGCAGGAAAAAACACACAAACACAGCAGCAACTGAAAAGAAGATTTAAAAAGCAAGAGGAGAGCCTAAGGGAGCTTTGGGACAACACAAAATGAAACTATATTTGCATAATAGGTGTACCAGAAAGAGAGAAAGAGAAACAAGGAATAGAAAACCTGTTTGAAGAAATAATGACAGAAAACTTCCCTGATATTGGCAAGAAAAAAACTATGCAAGTCCAAGAAGGTCAAAGAAGAAATAAAAAGCATCCTGAAAACAAATGACAATGAAAACACAATCGAAAATTTATGGGACACAAATGAAAGCAGTCCTGAGAGGGAAGTTCATAGCTCTACAAGCCTACCTCAAAAAACAAAAAAACTGGTAATAAATTATCTAACCTTGCAAATTAAATAATTAGAAAGAGAGCAACAAGAAAAGCCCACAGTATCCAGAAGGAAGGAAATAATAAAGATCAGAGCAGAAATAAACGACATTGAGACCAAAGAAACAATACAAACTGTCAATGAAACCACAGCTAGTTCTTTGAAAGGGTAAACAAGATTGATGAACCTCTTGCCAGGTTCACCAAGAAAATGTGGATTGCATTTATTCTGTGTCTGTTTCAGCATGTAGGTTTGGCATGTATGGGGTATTTTGCCCCATGAGTGCACATATTGAAAAAAACTGCACCTGAGAAGTTATACTCAGTTCACTTCGTGAGCCCCAGGTCCTGGTTTAAATGGTGAAATCCTGAACTGTCTTGAGCTTGTTGCTGTTATTGTATTACACTTGGGAATTCCTTGGAGAGTGGTCAGAGTTTGGGGTATGTGGGAAGTGTGATTGTCTCTGGAGCCTGATGGTGGAACAGTATGAGTCTAGGACAGGGGTGGGCAAACTTTTTGACTCGAGGGCCACAATGGGTTCTTAAACGACCGGAGGGCCGAAACAAAAGCATGGATGGAGTGTTTGTGTGAACTAATATAAATTCAAAGTAAACATCATTACATAAAAGGGTACGGTCTTTTTTTTTTTTTTTAGTTTTATTCATTTCAAACGGGCCGGATCTGGCCCGCGGGCTGTAGTTTGCCCACGGCTGGTCTAGGATGACTGGTCATGAATCACAAGGCAACATACCCATGCCCTGGTGTAGTCTTCTCCACATGATTCTGGCCATCTCTCTGACTCACCTTTGAACAATAGGATGTGATGGGAGTGACACTGCATGACTTCTAGAGCTGGGTCCCATTATACCTTGTACCTTCTGCTTGAGCTTTTTCAAGGGTTCTCTGTGTCAGAAGCCAGTCACCATTCATTAAATCCTAAACCCCTGAGACCTCTGTGATGTGAAGAGGTCTAAGACAACCAGGAAGGTCATGTGAAGAGAGAAATAACCAGCCAGCCCCCAGCTGTGTTAGCCAGCCCAAGTGAAGTGTCAGACATGAGGAAAACATCCATCAGAAAACTTCACTTCCCACTGCAATTTGAGTAAGGCTGCAAGATACACTAACCATATGAGTGCAGTAAACCTGCAAAACTGAGAGAGATAATCATAAATTATTGTTTTAAACCAACCTATTTTGGGGAGGTTTGTTATTCTGTAATGATTAAGTGGGATGACATCAAAACCAGAGTCTGGTCACTACATCCAGGTATATAAATTATTCTTGTTTTATTTATTCACTAGAGGCCTGGTGCACAAAAATTTGTGCACTTGGGAGGGGGGAGGGTGGTCCCTCAGCCTGGCCTGTGCCCTCTCGCAGTCTGGGACCCCTCAGGGGATGACCACCTGCTGGCTTAGGCCTGCTCCCCTGGGGATTGGGCCTAAGATGGCAATCAGACATCCCTCGGGCAGCCCGGCAGCCCTCGGGGGATGTCCACTTGCCAGCGAGGAGTAGGCCTAAACTGCAGTCGGACATCCTTAGCGCTGCTGAGGAGGCAGGAGAGGCTCCCACCACCACCGCTGTACTGGAAGCCATCAGCCTGGCTTGTGGCTGAGCAGAGCTCCTCCCATGTGAGAGTGCCCTGACCACCAGAGGGCAGCTTCTGCATTGAGAGTCTGCCCCCTGGTGGTCAGTGTGTGTCATAGTGACCAGTCATTCCCAGTCCTTCTGCTGTTAGGGTCAGTTTGCATATTACCCTTTACTTTATAGGATAGAGGCCTGGTGCACGGGTGGGGGCCGGCTGGTTTGCCCTGAAGGGTGTCCCGGATCAGGGTGGGGGTCCCGCTTGGGTACCTGGCCAGCCTGAATGATGGGCTGATGGCTGTTTGCAGCTGGTCACACCCCCTTCAGGGTGGGGGCCCCCACTGGGGTGCCTGGCCAGCCTGGATGAGGGGCTGAGGGCTGTTTGCAGCTGGTCACACCCCCTTCAGAGTGGGGGTCCCCACTGGGGTGCCTGGCCAGTCTGGGTGAGGGGCTGAGGGCTGTTTTCAGGCTGGTGGGAGACTGAAGCTCCCAGCCTCTCCTTTTTTCTTTCTTTTTTTAATTCTGGGATTTACTTACCTTCTATGGCTGTAGAAGCCAGCTCCAGGTCTGAGGCCGTTGCCAGCTGAAAGCAGGTATCTGGGGTTTGTTTAGGTTCTATAATTGCAATATTGTTGCATCCGGAGCTCAGGGCTGGGCTGCGGCAGGCGGGGAACCTTGGCTTCCTCCATCACTGGAGCAAGCAAGCCTCATGTTCACTTCAGCTGCCTGACTGCCGGCTGTCATCTTGGCTGGCAGTTAATTTGCATATCTCACTGATTAGCCAATGGGAAGGGTAGCGAAGTTATGGTTAATTACCATGTTTCTCTATTATTAGATAGGATTTATTTATTTATTTATTTACCTAATTATTTTATTTTTAAAATACATTTTATTGATTTTTTACAGAGAGGAAGGGAGTGGGATAGAGAGTTTGAAACATCAATGAGAGAGAAACATTGATCAGCTGCCTCCCGCACACTCCCTACTGGGGCTGTGCCTGCAACCAAGGTACATGCCCTTGACCAGAATCGAACCTGGGACCCTTGAGTCTACAGGCTAATGCTCTATCCACTGAGCCAAAACGGTTAGGGCTGTTCCTGTTGTAATAATAATTTTTATCCACCCTGGTCTATAATGATGACAATTCATTACCACACATGCCCCAGGCTTCTGCCCACATAAATTGGAAAAGTCTTGCAATTGTTTGAATAATAGAAAAATCTTTGAGGCAAATCCTTTTGGTCTTCAAATAGTCCTTGGATTACAATTTTTTAAGTGCAACCTGGCCGGGTGGCTCAGTTGGTTGGAACATCATTCTGTACTCCAAAAGGTCGTGGGTTCAGCTCCCAGTCAGGGCACAAATGGAAGGAAACCAATTGATGTTTCTCTCTCTCTCTCTCTCTCTCTCTCTCTCTCTCTCAAAATCAATAAAAATATGTCCTCGGGTGGGGTGAGGATTAAAAAAAGTTTTTATAAGTGCTGGCCTTGTCATTTTCTTTATTTTCCCCAGTGCATCTTACACAAAACCAGCAACAGTGTCAATACATTGTTATCCTAAAGGAAGAATTAAGACTTTTCACCTGATTTTCCTCAAAGTACAGAGTTTCTTCCCCAAACAACCAATTATAGCACTATTTGTGCAGAGAGATGCCTAAAGTCTTAGTTTAGCTATCTGAAATTGGGGAAGGATTTTGCTTTCGAGTTCCTAACATATCCTAAGCACTACATCATAAGAATATAGTTCCAATGTCTTCTCAAATATTTCATGAGCCTGTCACACACTCCTTGTATCAGAGAAATGTTTATCCACTTTGACACCCTGATCTCTCCCCTGTTGCTGATAGCCACATACTCTTTTTCCCCTCTAAAGCAAGAAGCAAATCTTGTTATATTTTCAGGAGTTTTAATGACCAAGTGTGGGGGAAGGGTGAGAACCCATGTTGTTAGTGAGCTCTGGGAACCACAGAGTCACTTAGGTGGAGGGATCTCCTTGACAACGGGGAGTTTGGTCACATCTTTCTCTAAGGAGTAGTCACTGAGGTCAGGGACACATCTCTCCACACCTGCATCATCTTCACAGATCCTGGGTCAATTCGATGGGGAAAAGTGTAGCATTGAACACCATTTACTGTTACCTGGAAGAGGATATGTGTCAGAAATATAGCATGCCACCAAACAAACTTACCGTCTTCCTTTCCTTTCCTACCCTATACATACACCATCCACCAGAAACTCCTAGTCAAGCTCTAAAGACCAACAGACCTGCTTCTTTTTATAGCCTTCCTTTTGTGACCATTTCAGACAGTTACTCACCCTATTTTTCGTGTTTCTCATTCCTCCACTGAGGTGTTAGCACTCTATGTTGCACTGTCTATGTCTGCCTGGGCTTCCCTTGGGCCAGGAACTGTTTCATGAATCGTGAGTCTGGGCCTTGCACAGAGTATCATAAGCTAATTGGTCATTACGTGTTTATTGAGTGAATTCGTTTTAGCTCTGCTAAACTTTACTGCCGTTTACTCCTGATGACTCAGTAGCTCAGATTTAGGGTGGTAAAGGTAAAGAATAAAACTATTTTTTCCTGTTTTTCACCTATTTTTTATAGAGCGAGGATGGAAGAAAGCGGGAAGGGGAGAGAGAGAGGAGAGAGAAAGAGAGAGAGAGAGAGAGAGAGAGAGAGAGAGAGAGACCGATGTGAGACTAAATTGGTTGCTTCCTGCATGCGCTCCAATGGGATCAAGGATTGAACCTGCAACCCAGATACCTGCCCTTGATGGAGAATCCAACCTGAGACCCTCCAGTGTGCAGGTCAATGCTCTTACTACTGAGCCAAAACTTGAATATTCCTAAAGAGGAGGAACAGTACATATGATTAAATGAGAATATTTTTATTCAGCTTATAAGCAAATGGAACAATGCCTCACTTCAACCATAGGACAGTAAATCTTTTTGTTTCCCAATGAGAGAAGGTTTAAACATACACTTTATGGGTGTGAGTATGGATAAAAAGTAGACTTTTTAGGTCTTAATTTTTCAAATTTAAAATGCACACACTTTTTGAACCAGTTATTCAATTCCTCTGAAATTATCCTCTCTTATAAGAATAGGGAGGTTGATAATGACAAAAATGTGATATAGAAGGAAGCATCATTCATAAGAGCAAAATATGGAAACCACCTAAATGTGCATGAATAAGGGCTAAGTTAAATTATTCTGAAAATGCTTCTATTGAAATATTACATAAACATTAAATGATGTGGGGGCATCAAAAATAGAATGATGTTAGTTTCTCTAACATATATTCTTTGATAACAAATAAAATCTAGTCATCAATATGTGATTTCTAGAGAAACTTATAAGATCATTTGTTTAAAAATAAAAGCAGAGATAAATGATAGATAGATGGGTAGATACATGGACTTGAACAAGCATATAGTATCTCTGGAAGGAGCATAAAGGAATTAGTAAGTGTTGCTCTGGAGAGAGGGACTGGGTTTGGGAATGCAGGAAAGAGTTAATTTTAGACTGATTATACTTATTTATATGCACATTTTAACAATCACCTACATGAAAACTGAAGGAATGACAGCATAGGTAGAAATGAGGCTGTGCGTGAAGACGGGAACTTCTCCACCCTGGAGAATAAGGTACGGGTGCTGATCTTGACCTGCTCAGATTTGGAAAAGGACCTGAGCATGGCAGTACAAGCAGAGGGTGCTGTGTGATGTGAGGGGCAGGAGATGAACCACAAGTGACTCTGGGGGCCAGGCCAGGGAGAGCTGTGTGCTCCTGGGAGAGCCCTGAGAGCCCATGTAGTAGATGTTCCTGGGCGCACTCACCCGGTACTGGTCTGACAGCACCAAGATGTCCATGTTAAAGGGTTGGCCGTCCTTAAAGGGCATATCAGTGGATTTCACTTCTTGACCCCAGGTCCCATTCTTACGGCTGTTCATCACCACCTCTTTGCCAAAGCACACTTGGATTTTGAAGGTGATGTCTGAGTCCACTTCAGTTTTAGTGAGGAAATCCACCTCCATTTCTGGGAACATACTGAAGGCAAAGCACACAGCCTGTTGAGCAGGACTCTTCCTCATGGGGGCCCACATTCAAGACACACGTACAAACCCTTCCAACCCCTCCTGCTGAAGGAAGGCCTTCCTGGGTGAGACTGCAGTACGTGTCCCTGTGGGGCTGCTTCAGCTTGTCCGGCCCAGGCTGGGGAGACGCCTCATCTCTTAGCCCAGGACTCACACTGAGCAGCAGTCACTGGCCTGGGGATACTTTTCATGCCCTGGAAATACTGTGTTTCTTGATAATAAATCTCAGCCCCAATGCCTGAGTGACTCCAGTCCCCAGACTTCACCACTTGCCCACAGACATGCACCTGTAGGTTTAATGCCTGGCACCATATGTGTCTCCAGGAACTGCATCTGCATTGTGCTACCATTAGGCTAATTACAAACTTTAACCTCAGTCATGCATGAAGTGACCCCCAAAGCTCTAATAATCTCACTTCTCCTCTCGATGGGCTATAGATACTCACCAGAAAGGCATGACAGGTTTCCCTTTGATTTTCACTGAAGAATTAGCAGGCAAGGATAGATTTGTTTTATATGGAATCTGCCATGGGAGACAAGAGTAGTTGAGAGGGGCAAGGCCAGGTGTGGTCGCCCATCTTATAACAGTTCCCAGTGGCAAAGCAGGTTATACATCAAAGGACATACTCTGAGGACCCTCTTCTTCCCACCTCACCACAGGCAGGTCCCTGTGTCTTTGATGACATGAGAAAGTTGAAGTTAACAGGAAGAGTGCAAAGCCAGGTGGCCTGGATTCTAATACTGATTCTGCCTCTTACGACCACTTGAATGCTCCCTGCCTCAATTTTCTCAGTACAAGAAGGATTATAAAATTTCTATTTCATAGGATGTTCTCAGGAATAGCTGAGCTAATAGACGTAAAACCTTTGGCATGGTCACTGGCAGGTACAGGGTCTATACGGGGTGACTTAGCGGAAGGGGAGGGCCCTTTCTCGGATACCACCCTCCCATCGGTTTTTATCTGAAACTGTGAAGATAAGGCTTTAGAATGTAAAAGTATAAAATATAAAAATCCACTCCAATATAAGATAATTGTTTAAAGGGAGAGGGAAATAATGGCAAAGGTGACTCCTGTGTGTGGCATGTATATGCATCAGAATTTTCAAGGGCAATGGTGTCCTTTCAGGAATGTGCACAAGTTGCTGAGGACAGTCAGTACCTGCACACAGAGCGGGAGACAGGAGACTAATTAGATAGAATCTACAGGTTGTTCCCTGATATCGACTGTAAGCTTTGTCTGGACTGAGGCTGGTTTTGTTCCTTCCATCTTCAGGTGATCCATTCTCTGAAACCAATTCTCCCAACCACCTTCCCCAGAGAGCCAGGATCTGCTTAACCTTTTGTTGTTGTTGTTGTTGTTGTTGTTGTTAGGACAAAGGAAGGACTGGCAGGAGGAGGAGACCTGAGGCAGGAGCAGGGGTCACTGTGTGCTGACCTATACAGGAGATCCTGTGCCCCACAGTCTGAGTTCACCTTCCCCCAGCCTTCTTGAGAAGAGCCATCTGAGGACTGACTCATTCTGCTCTCATTAACCCTCAGGAAGGAGTCCTGAGAAAGCCACTCTCCCCAAGACCTCCAGTTCTGCTAACCAGGAGCCACAGTGATACACAGGAACAGAACCACAGCTACTTAAACAGTCACTACCATGTATGGGAGAACCCTCACAAGCAGACACAGCTGCACGCATATTCATAGTTCAACATGCAATCATAGTTCATCATACACACACAGTTATGCAAAACATGGAACTCACCGTCTCACACATACCTCCCAACACTACTACTCATGATGACATGCACAGCTGTTCAACCACTGCCCCAGCTTCACTCACACACACATATTCAGAGGCATGAAGACAAATGTGTAATCTCACCCCTTGCATCCATGCACACACTCCCTCATCCCAGTCAGCTCTTCACTTCCCACACAAAGTCACAGCGTCTCAATAGAGTTCACCCTCAGTCAGATACCACCAAATGCTGCCAGTAGATATCCTGCCCCATCCTCTCTCTTCCATATCTTCACAACCCCCAGTAAAACATTTCCAATGTTTTCATTTCAGAGAATCTCCGACTCTTTCATCCTTCTCTTATGGGACCTGTCATCATTGAAGGCTGTGCCTTTTCCACTCACCGGTAGCGTTTCCATTGTTGTGCCTTCTGCTGGGAAGCTCTTCCAAACTGTGTCTGGTTGTGTGTGTGATCTCTGCAAGTGGCAGGTTATAAATGATTTCTGGAAGCCCCGCCCTCTGGCTTCCTTTCAGTTTCTAAGTCTCTTCTAGAAAGATTCCCAGCAGGTGAGAAGGTGTGGGATATCATAAATAGAATGAATCACAACTATGTCCTTGAAAAGGTTGTGTTGTGATGCAATAGAAACTTCAGTGAGGAAATTGTGGGTGAGGAAGGATTAGCAGGAAAAATGCATAAATAAGTGTGATGGAATGGGTGGGTGAGTGGGTCAATAATCCAGCCTATGTGCCTCTCACCAAGTATTTATCCCTCAGAGCAGAGCCCACCCAAAGGTACACATTTTTCTGACTTGAACAATGGCAAAGAATTGGTGGTGCTGGAGGTAAGGACTCCCTTCCAGAGGTCCTGAGAGATCATAGAAATTGATCCTCAGCAGCCCTGGAGATAGAGAGAAAGTCTTTGTGCCATTTCCTTTCCACAGTAGGTCCCTTGGCTCTGCTAATGCCTACAGTGTTTTAGCCTTTGGGTTTCACCCTCTTGGTCAACTTCCAACATACATCAATCAAGATTGGACCTTTAAGATGAAAAATTCTTTGTAATAATAACACTTGAATAAGTATGATTTAATCATGAAGACCTATTCAATAAATTATAGCACACCCAATTAATGACATATCTTAGAGTCATTTGAAAAAGTTAAATAAAACAATAAAAAACAAGTTGAATCAGAAAGTTTTTCAACATTAAGATTTCCAAGTGGAATGTAATGAACAAAATAAACTGATGAACAAAATAGAAACAAAGGCATGGATACATGGAACAGACTAACATTTACTGGAAGGAGTAGATGAAAGAAGGTGAAGGGATTAACCAAAGACCATATATGCATAACCCTTAGACACAGACAACAGTGTGGTGATGGCGAGAGGAATGGGGGGTCAGGGGTTGGGTTCAGGTGGGAAAGGGGGGAGGGAGCAAATGGGGACATCTGTTTCAACATATGTCAACAATAAAAGTAAAGTTAAAAAATTTTTTTAATGAAAAGATTGCTTCTTGCCACAGGGAACTCAGGGAACACTGCCACCATGGGAGCAAGCCCAAGCCAGCCTGCTGGAGAGGCCAGGTGGAGAACTAAGGCTCCTTGGTCAACAGTCAGTCATGTGAGTGAGGCCATCAGGACTGTGCAACCCTAAAGAAGTCACCAGCTTACTGTACCCGCATGAGAGAGCAGACAAAACCTACAGAAGAACCATTCAGCTGATTCCAGCCCAAAATGTCAACCCATAAAATCATGATCTCAAAGATTGATTACTGTTTCTAGCAACTAGACAACAGCAATAAATAAGTTAAGTAATTTGGAAATATTTACAGATGAATTTACTGATGTTTAGGGATTTGCTTCAAAAGAAGCCAGGGGTGCTCTAGCCCAGTGGCTCAGTTGGTCAAAGCATTGTCCTATACACTGAAAAGAAAAAAAAAAGTTGCGGATATGGTTTGATTCCCAGTCCGAGTATATACCTGTGGTTTGGGTTTGATCACCATTCGGGGTACATATGAGAAGCAACCAATCTCTCTCTCTCTCTCTCTCTCTCTCTCTCTCTCTCTCTCTCCCTCTCCCTCTCTTTCTGTCTCATTTTTCTCCTTGTCTCTCTATCTCTTTTCATCTCTCTCTGAAAAACCAATACACAAGCCCTAACCGGTTTGGCTCAGAAGATAGAGCATCTGCCTGAGGACTGGAGAGTACCAGGTTCAATTCTGATCAAGGGCATGTACCATGGTTGCAGGCACATCCCCAGTAGGGAGTGTTCAGGAGGCAGCTGATCCATGTTTCTCTCTCATCGATGTTTCTGACTCTATATCCCTCTACCATACTCTCTGTAAAAAAAAAAAAAATGAAATAAAATACATTTAAAAAACGCCCACCAATACACATATCCTTGGCTGAGAATGAAAAAAAAAAAAGCCAGGGGTGAGATGAGTAGAGGTATGGATGAACAAGATGGGTGAGAGCTGTTAAAACTGATGAGTACTTAAGGGCTTATTGTACTATTGTCTCTACATTTGCTTATGTTTGAAATGGAAATTTCCAATAAAAAAAAATTAAAGGAAAAGAAGGGAAGGAAAGAAGATAGAGAAAAAGGAAGGAAAGAAGGAAAATGACTCTTCTATTAAAGAAAGACAGTGAGTTCTGTAATGAGGCACAGCCAGATCATAGACAAATTCATTATTGAACAGACTGTTGACTCCTGGGCCAGGCCCTTCCCTCCCCCAACATGGTCAGAGACAGTCAAGTCCCACAGGAGAAGCAGTCCAGGTGGGAATATTTTCTTTTATTTCTTGAGAAAATCCTCATGGCAGGTAGGTCTAAGGCATTAGTAATGGTGAGACCTTTGATGAAAAATCATCTTTATCTGTTGGGATGTATTTTTGACATAGTTTGTGGGAAGAAACATTTGACAGAATGGGACAGAATAGTAAGAAGCTAGGAAAATTCTTTGGCAAGTGGCATGGGGAACCTGAGACAGACAGCAAACAAACTACCCAAGCAATTTGCACCAGTTACAGAAGGTCGCCTCCCTAGAGATAATATCTAGGCCTCTGTTGTATTTGAGCTCCAGGCTCAGAAAAGCAGCAAAACCTTATGGGCCACACAGGGACCAGCTGTCATGACTTGTGCCAACCAATCAGTGGAGACCATGACACTGAAAGGAAACACATGGAAAACTCAAGAATATTCTATGGAGATCTCCCCTAAGACCTCCCCTAAACCCCCAGCCTGAGCCCTCTCCTTCCTGGGAGCTAGTCCATGCCTTACCCTCTCCTCTCTCCTTCCCCCAGAGTGTGCATCACTGAAACTGCAGGGGACCCCCTGCAGCTGTCTCCAGCCCCCCTTTTTCTGATTTTCCAGTGAGGTAACGGCAGGCCCACCTTGGCCCAGGTCTTCCTGATAACGTTTCTAGTGACCACAAGCAGCCGGGCCTGAGCTCTCCTGTTGCTTCTTCTATTCTAAGCCCTTCCTTTATTTCACTGACCACAACTTTACTAAACAGTCTCACAATCACCTTGTGTTGGGAAACCTTTCCTGCATGCAATCAAGTACCCACCGTTACTTGAGGCCCTAGGTTTATCCCCTCCAGTTCAGGTCACCATTCAGTGAGAAAAGCTTCCACGTGGGACTGGAAAGCCTGCGGAAGCAAGTTCTCCCCTTGAGGTTGGATTGTTTTCAGATCCAGCACAGCCACAGGAACTGGCTGCTAGTGCTCGTTCAACGTGCTACCTTCCAGAATGTTCCTTGCATCAGACTCCCCGTGGGCCGTGATGTGGTAGGACCCACGTTTCTGAGCCCTTTGACTTGCCCACACCTGCAACCACCCACCCGTGATCACACAAACTCTTCCTCTGAAGCTTAATTTCTCTCCTGGAACATGAAGGACAGGGGCATAGTAAATTCAGGAACATATGAAGACTTTAATAAGATTTTGTCCAAATTACCAAAGGTACATGTGAACATGAGAATATCATACTTTTCACTTATGTAGTAAGAAGGATTCATTAACAAGTTGAAAAATCTGTCTCCAAATACTGAAAACCTTCAGACTTAATTCTGGAAATAATAAGGAAAACATTTCCTTACTTGCCTCAGTCCCCCTACACCCTGAGGTGTGGCGGGTGAGGTAGTGAACTCAGACTGAGGAGTCTAGAGGGGCAGGAGACGCACCATTGTGGAGGAAAACAATTCACCACATGGCCCAGGACTGAGGGAAGAACCTATCAAAGTGTAGCTGTGGTTTGTAACTAGGTCTGGATTTGCGAGGCATGTCAAGAGGAATTGGAAACACTTGTATCAGGAATTACCAACTGATGAACATTGCAGCTCCCATAAATCAGGCCTGCACAAAGACTCATGCCTGCTTACATTCAGTGCGCTCTAAGCGGCCTAGAGCAGAAACTCCAGGCAAAAAAGGGTGGGTCCTGAATTGTATGAGGTGATAGGGTACTTACTAAATTACTTAAATTCATTCATATTCCCCCCAACTACCACTAAAGCCTCCCCCTTTCCTTCTCAAAAAGTCGTTTTGAACACTCACACACACACACACACATCATTTATGCCATGAACTATGGATCATGGCCTCATCCGCCAGGTATCAGTTCAAAAAGCACTTCCTTGTGGCACTCACTCACTCACTCCTGATATTTTGTCAAGTCTCTTGTTACCAATGCCCTTTGTGTCCCTTTACATGCACTTTATAAAAGAGTTCAGTACTTATCCCTTTCATGTCTGTCCCTTGCCCTAGAATAAACCGTTTGCCTGGTTGGCAGCTGTGCACTGTGTGACCAGCACAGGGCCCTGCCAGAGCAGTGGTTCTCTGTTTATTAACATCTGCAGCAGCTGTATCCAGGAACGAAGTGGAGGTGACCCGGATCCAATGTGATGACGAAGGGTCATGAAGACCAAATACCTAGGAGTGAATCTGATACAAGCATGCAAGATGGTCACACTGGCAACTTCCAAATATTGTTGAAATGGAACTCAGTCCCTGAAAACTATTCTGGGGAGGAGCCAGACATGACTGACTCTCTGTAAGTGCCCTCCTGGTTGAGAAACCTGCCACTCCCAAGACTCTGTGCCAGGGTGCTCTAGCCCAATGGCTCAGTTGGTCAAAGGATTGTCTTATACATTGAAGAGAAAAAAAAAAGTTGCAGAATTGGTTTGATTCCCAGTCTGAGTACCAACCTGGGGTTTGGGTTTGGGTTTGATCACCATTTGGGGTGCGAAGGAGAAGCACTCAATCTCTCTCTCTTTCTCTCTCTCTCTTTCTCTCTCTTCATCTCTCTTCCCACTCTCTCTAAAAAACCAATACACATTTCTTTTGCTGAGGATGAAAAAAAAAAGAAGCCAGGGGTGAGGTGAGTAGAGGTATGGATGAACAAGATGGGTGATATGATGAGAGCTGTTATAGCTGCTGAGTACTTGTGGGCTTAATTTACTATTATCTCTACATTTGAGGATATTTGAAAAGGAAATTTCCCATAATAAATAATTAAAGGAAAAGAAGGG